TTGGATACTTGCTTCATGACAAAGAGATGTAACAGGGGAGTGAGGAAAGAATAATACTTTCAGTAAATGGTTCTGGGTCAGCTGTATATCCATATAGGAAAAAAATGAAACGACTCCTATCTCACACCATATACCAAAATAAATTCTATGTGTATTGTAGATCTGTATGAGAAAAACAAAACAAAACTTTAAAACAGCTCTGTCCAATACTGTTACCATGCAAGTGACTACTGAATGCTTGAAATGTGGCTAGTCTGAAGTGAGATGTTCTGTAAGAGATAAAATTGATACATTGGACTACATTAAAATTAGAAATCTCTGATCATCAAGATGCAATGAAGAGAATGAAAAGGCAGGCTGCAGAGTAAAAGAAACCAACAAAAAGGTTGTGTCCAGGATAGATAAGAACTCTGCAAATTAAAAAAAAAAAAAAAAAAGAGCCAAACAGGAAAATGGGCTGAAGATTTGAATACGAATAGATGATATCACAAAAGAGGATATCTAAACATCAAATACTCATATGAAAAAATGTTCAATTTCATTAGTCATTAATTGTCAGGTAAGTGATCACTATGATAATATACAGGCTCCAGAATTGCTTAATGAAAAAGACTGGCAACACCAAGTGTTGGCAAGAGAGCAAAGCAACAGCAACTCACACACTGCTGGTAGGACTGTAAATTTCTATAGCCACTTTAGAAAACAATCTGATCTTGACTACTAAATTATAATACACACTTAGACTATTACTCAGCAATTCTACTTCTAGGTATATACCCCCCAAAATTCATGTACAAGTGCAAAAGGTGCATACAAGAATATTAATAACATCATTATTTGTAACACCCACAGTATGAAAACATCCCAAATGCCAATAGAATAAATATATTGTAGTATATTCATGTCACAGAATATTACACAGCCCTGAAAAGAATGAAACAATGTCCACTACATACAACAACATGGATATATCTCACAAACATCTTACACAAAAGAAGCCAGACATAAAAATACTTTAGGACTCCATTTATATAAATTTTAAAATCAGGGAACTAATTTTAGACTAATCTATGAATTTAGAAAGTAGTTACCTTTGGGGAGTGAGGAGGGGCACTGATTGATGGGGGTGCTTCTGTGGAGCTGGAAACTTTTTAGTTGATGGTGGTTACACAGGTGGGTTTAATTTGTAATAATTAATTGAACTGTCACACTTAGTACCTGCCCACTTTTGTGGATGTATGTTATACCTCAATTTAAACTTTTACTTAAGAAAAAGTCCTCTGGGGCCTTCAGATGTCCTAAAAAGCCCATGTCTTTCTGGCCCTTCCTATCACTCTCCATACTATAGCCTGAGTGACACGTCCGATGTACAAATTCGATTCTGTCATTTCACAAGTCCCTAGTGCTCTCAGAAACAAGGTCCCTTATAATTCCCTTACACTCAACTCCATTACAGCCCAAGAAATCTTTGACTTCCCAGGCTTTTTATAATTCTCCAAATCTTCAAAGAAACTTCTCCTTGCTCCAACATTTTCCAGATCTCAGCTCAGGTTATCACTCCCAGAGAAATCTCTGACCACCTAAAACCAGCTCTGAAACAACCAGAGCTCAGGAAGCACTGTGGGCTTCCTTATTACAGTTCTCTTATCACTCTCCTGTAGCTGTGAGTTTGTCTTTCGCTCCTAGAATATGAATTCCTTTGAGGCTGAGCACAGTGCATGTGACCCATCTCTATGTTCCTCAGTGCCTGTTGGCTGGAAGGTGTGCCAAGATAGTGAGGAAGAAAGTGAGCTTGGAGATGGCCAGTAAGGATTCAGACATTGGAGCTTGAAAACTAACATTTCAGGCACCAGATATAAGAGTGAGAAGATTCAGAAGGAGGGAAGACATGTGCACATTCTGGGAATGTGGTACGTCAGTCTATCTGGCTGAGGCCAAGGCTACTCATAGGAGAAAAAACAATCTTTAAAGATCACTCTTGCATAGTCAGGAAAGTCTTGAATGTTAGAACTTTAATCTGTAGGCAACGGGGAGCCACTACAGGTTTTTGAACAAGGGTGTGACATGATCAGAGCTCTGCTAACGACAGACGCATCCCGTGGAGGGTGAAGGCTAGATTGGAAAAGGAAACATTAACTTTGGAAAGTTCAAGGGAAAAACAACTTTGATGGTCTAGGTAAAAGGAATGGGAGGATGAGAATCCACTTAAGAAACATCTCCCATGTAGAACAGATCAGAAAGTCTGCCATTTAGTAGGAAAGGCTTGGAAGAAGACAGCAGGAGAAAGGCTCGAGTTCTAGGACACAATAAATCCTGGTGGGCTCTGAGGCGGATTGCTCCTCATGTCAGTCACTCAGAGCCTTCCACTCAAAGCTTGGTCAGTGTAGACTGCGAAAAGATCATGAGTGTGAAAGTGCTTGGTGACCTGTCATGCGTGTGGGGATGTGGCTGAGGGACTCGTGTGGCTCAGTGGGTTGGGCATCATCCGGCAGAATGGACGAGTGCCAGTGTGATTCCTGGTTAGGGCATATCCCTGGGTTGCCGGGCTGTCTGGGGGGCATGTGAGAGGCAACTGATCAATGTGCTTCTCGCACATTGACGTTTCTCTCCTTTTCTGCCTGACTTCCCCTCTCCCTAAATATAAATAAATAAAATATTTTTTAAAAGAGAGGCATCTGGTGAGCAGGAAAATAGTGACTTAAGACATCAAAGGAGGAACTGGTTTAGAGGGGAGGATGAGGAAAGAAGTGATGGGTAAATCTCATTTATTTAGTGTTGGTTTTTCTCTTGAGATTTAGAAAATCCTTGACAAAGTTTCCAGGTAATAGAACCCTGTGTGACACAACTGCTTGTTTGTGGGTTGGTGCCTTAGCTCCTCTCAGCCGTTGGAGACTCTTTGTGTTTAGGTTCTGGTCTGGAACAGGCCCTGTGTGTATATTGAACTGAGGTGAACTAGGACATGGTCCCTAACATGGGCTCTGAACATTTTATTCGGAGAGAAAAGAATCTGACACAAGCAGTTAGACAACAACGGAAGGCACCACAGAATTAAAGACCAAGAAGGGAGAAGGGAAGAAAGCCCTAGTAGACAGGAAGAGTCAGGAAGGAGCAGGGACGAAGGCACAGGCAAGGTTTGGGAAGCATTGCAAGGAAAGACAACAGCTTTAGCAAAGGCCTGGGAGTGGGAATGTTGGTGGCCTATATAAGGCATGGATAAAATGATAGGAAATCAAACCAGAGAAGTCAGTGAGGAAGCCAATTGTGATTGGCCTTTAAATCCCAAGTCAAGTGGTGTGGGACTTTATTTTAATAGGTAAAGGGAAACTACTTAACACTTCATAACAAAGTGACATACTATAACAAATTTCAGGAGGACGGCTTTGGCTGCTGTATGTGTATAGGATGGATTAGTGGGGAAAATTCAGAGGCAGGGAACCCAGGCAAGGGGCTTCTGAAATAATCCTGGTGTTAAAGGTCTGAAACAGAAGTGGGAATGGGAAAGAAGGGATACAATTTGGGGATCTTTGGAAAAAGAATTGACAGGTCTTGATGATGCATCCCTTATAGGAATCAGAGAGAAAGTATGATCTTAAGGTTTCTGACCTGAAAATTGATGCTTCTCTGAAAGTTTACAATTTTTTTAAATAAAAGACATTTACTGAGAAGATACAGTAAGCTTAGATACAGAATAAAGTAAATACAAGTTTGTTTGTTTTGTCAACTCCTTCCTGAAGTCACTGACACTCAATGTTTTCTTGGGGACAAAAAGGTCAACAAACGAGCCTATTGAGGAAGGATTTTGGAATGAGACAGAGAGATACTGTCTCATTCTCTTTTTTAAAATGTTTATTTATCGATTTTAGAGAGACGAATGGGAGGAGAGTGCGCGTGCACATGAGAGAGAAACCATTGATTTGTTGTTCCCCTTATTTATGCATTCATTGGTTGACTCTTGTATGTGCCATGAACAGGGATCAAACCTGCATCCTTGGCATATTGATATGATGCTCTAAGCAACTGAGCTACCTGGCCAAGGCCCACTGTTTTTGTTCTTGAGTAAAATCCCAAGGCATCTTCACTGTGTCCTAACCCTCTCAAAATATATAGTAAGAAACTACAAAAGATCTAGCCCTGGCTGGTGTGGCTCAGTGGATTGAGCGCCAGCCTGCGAACCAAAGGGCTGCCTGTTCAATTCCCAGTCTCACGCCTGGGTTGTAGACTGGGCCCTCAGTAGGGGTCGCGCAAGAAGCAACCACACATTGATGTTTCTCTCTCTTCTCCTCCCTTCTCCTCTCTCTAAAAATAAATAAATAAAACCTTTAAAAAAAATATGAAAGATCCAGAAAAAGGCTACTTAAATAACAAAGACATAATAAACCAATAATAAAAAACTTTTCCTTCCAGCTCAAAGGTCATAAAGAGGGCATGAACACAAGCCTGTGGGAGGTTTAATATTAATTATACCTTACATTAGCACAGCACTGATCAGTTTAAAACATTGTTTTATGTCCACTATTCATTCAGCAAACTCTCAGTACCCTATGCTCAGTATTCTCTGAGGAGGGCACAGAGATGCAGAAGGCCCAATGCCTTACTCAAGGAGCTTGCTGTCTAGTTTGATCTTTACAACCTGTATAAGCTTATTCCCACTGGACAATTAAGGAAACTAGGATTGAGCTGTGCTTAAAGCACAGACTCACAGCTGTGGTACTTTGAGCGAGTTATTAATCTGTTTCCTCAAAGCAAAAGGGGAATAATAATGTTTACCTCATGGAGTTTTGAAGCTTAAATGTTGTCAAAAGTTCAGAAATAGTGGAAGTAAAACAACTGGATCACTAAAATAATAATTAGCAAAAGTTTATTGTGAAAAAAACAACAACAATAAAAAAACAAAACCAAAACCAAAGAATAACAGCAACAAAAAAAACCAGTTTGCAAACTGTGAGCACTCAAACGGATTAGGGAATGAGGCTCAGAGATGTTGCTATAAAACAGCTTACCTAGTGAGGAGGCAGTGGCTGTTTATTCTTCACAGTGATTGGTTATAAAATTAGTTTTCCTAGTGATAGAAAATAGGTTAAAAGTGGTTAGCTCACATCAATTTTGGGGAAGAGTTTAAGTTCTGTTTATGATTTTCAGAGGCATTAACAAGAACTGGCCCAAGTTTTGCTTGTATGACTAAACTGGTTTGTCTGCTCAGGAAATTTTCAAGTCGGCTCTCCATTTGCGTTGGATTTTAACAAGGTGAAAGTACACAACAGTGCTTAGCTGCATGCCTGGTGCAAAGTCAGCGGTGTTCATTATTATTATTTATCATCATTATTAAGCGGTGTGCATAGCATTTACTATATTTTTACCACATTTTGTCCTTGTCCTCCATCCAAACTTTCTCGCAGTGCCTGTACTTTGCTTCTCCTCCTTTGACTCCGAGCAAACCCTACTAACAAACTTAGAGCACTATCTATCCCAGCAGGTCGCTCCAGACATTGCTCTAGCCTTGATCCCTTTCATCTTCATTCCGTTGTCTCTCCCTTTCCTTATCTCTCATTTTCTTCCAGACCATTCCCTCTCTCCCTAACATCTTGGCCTTTGGAGTTTGGAGGCTTGGCTTTGCTGTATGTCTATGGACAAATAAACAAGCCATCTAACTGCTGAGTCTCAGTTTTAACATCTGAAAACTGAGAATAACAGGCACTCAGTTCCGTCTGGGTCACCTGCTCTGATATCTCCCAAGTGGCCTCTCCTCCTTTCTAATAAACTTGTTGCTTTGGCCAACGTGTGTCTCCCAACTGAATTCTTTCCTTGGAGGAGAGAAGAACCGAGGACTTCAGAACACCACCGCTGATCCGGTGATATTTTTTGGTGCAGTGACTTGGATCAGTACTCTTATGGCAAATCAAAACTCCATACCTCAAGACTTGCCCATGGATGCAGCCTTAAGAATTGGGACAGGTTTGACTCCAAACCCTAAAAAGAAAAAGATTAGCCTTCTTTTGTGACACTGCCTGGCTGCAATACAAGTTAGAAGACCAGGAAGTCTGGCCAGAAAACGGCAGTCTAAATTACAATACTACCCTTCAATTAGACCTCTTCTGCTGCCGACCGGGCAAGTGGACTGAGGTTCCCTACGTGCAGTCATTCATGGCTTTAAGAAACGACCGGGGACTATGCCAGGGATGTAAAAAAGACCCAGCAGTTTTGGCAGATCACCCAGAAGGCCCGACCTAAGACTGAGGGCTCAACCGCGGACTCCACAGAGAGTGTCGGGAGAAAACGCCAGACCCCACGTACCCAAAGACTCATGATCCAGCACCTGCCCCTGCACACCCCCGGCTGACTCCCAGTGCTCCGCGACTGGGACAGCCTTCCGGGTTGTGCCCATTGCAGGAAGCGGGCAGGCCGCAGGGCCGGGTCAAGGGTCGAGGTCCCCCTCACCATGCAGGACTTACACATCATTAAACACCAACTGGGAAATTTTACAGAGGAAACTGATTATTACATTCGAGGTTTTCGAAAGCTCATTCTAACCAAAAAAAAAAAAAGAGAGAATAAAAACATTTACTTTTACAGTACATATGATAATAAAGTATGGGTGCTATATAAATTATACAGAGCCTTGTCAAAGCTAGTTCCTGGTATCTCTCACCTCTATTCCTTTTCATTCTCTTCCTTTTCTTAAGGTCCCTTTGCCTTGTTGTGGGGCTAGGAAATTCTTGGAATTGAAAGAACAGAACTCCAATCGGAGTGTATATTTGCTGGCTGTTCCCGCCTTCCACGCCTAAACGAACCAATCAGGCGTCCGGACAGTGGTGCGGTAGCTCCATACGGAGACCACCTCCAAGGAAACTTGCATTTTTTTTCCTCTTTGTGATCAGCCTGTTTTCGCCGCGCACCCCAGCTGCCCGACCTTGCAGGTGGGACCCTTCCTCTTTCTTTTCGCAATTCTCCAAATATTGGTGAATTGAGAAATACTGGTATTGCAAGGGTTGAAAGGAGAGGGCCGGAAGTGTACGTTGCACTGTTGGGTCCCCAGCGAATCGACGCCGGAAGTAGCAATTGCTAGAGAAAGATTCCGCCGGCTCCGTTATGGCGGCAATCCCCCCGGACTCCTGGCAACCGCCCAACGTATACTTGGAGACCAGGTGAGGGGGATCGGGCCTCTGGGACTGCGCTGGCGGAGGCGACGCGGAGCCCGGGCTTCGCCGCGGGGCTGGGTTCCCGGTGGGCTCTCCTGCCTCGTGGGGAAGCTTGGAGCGGCGGCCGTGAGGGCTGAGTGTGGACCGTCACCGCCAGCAGCCGAACAACGCACTGACTCGCGCTGAGACCTTAGCGACAGCTGCCTGATTGCCCTCCTCTGGCCTCTCCGCTCATCCATTCTTTCTGGCTGGGCACGTAGAATCTGGCATCTGAGGATGCAGAGATGGATAAAACACACAGCCTTGCCTTTAGGAGCTTACTAGAGTGAAGGAGAAAAGCTGTAAAAGTATCGGCGTGATAAGTAGCACTGTTTTAACGTCGTAAGTACTACAGTTTATAAACAAATTTTTAGAACACAGGAAGAAGCACATTTCCCCCACTATCAAATGTGATATAACCGAACACCAACCAGCAGCACATTTAGTTTAATCCTTCTAGCAACCGAAATTATGTAGGTATTACTCCACTTTCTTCCCATTTTAGAAGTGAAATTTCAAAACTTACAGATTAAATGGCTTGACCAAAGCCACACGGTAAGGAAGGAAACCTTACTTGAAGCCTGATATGTCTGCCTCACGCTCTAGGTTCCTTAGCTTCATTCATTTCATTGCCTCTTTGAAAAAAGTTCAGTGATTTACAAATTAAGTAACTTCTTACTTTTACAACACTATAAAACTAAAACTTTTATAGTAGTTTTAAAACTTTTTTAGTAATCTGTCATTCAAGTGATATTCTTCACTTGGCCTTTTCTTAACCTCTCTGGCTACACCTGCCGGTCCCCCATGAGTAGCCAGCCACCATCTCTCTGCCTTTTTTCTGTTCTTGTCTATGGTGCTTTTCACCGCACACAGTTCTCTCAGATGCTGGTTTTGCTCCCAGACCATTTTTCCTACCTTATGTGGCAAAATTCTACTTAAGGCACCACTTGAAAGTAATTTCTGAACTCACTTGTTAACATTTTTTTTTGAACTACAAAGTAAGTTGAAATTTACACCCAAGAAGTGTAGATGTGTATAGAATAAGCACTGAAAGCCATCCCTCCCGTAAAAACACTTTTAATAGTGTAGTTTGTTGAATTATCTTCCAGGTCTTCTTCTATGTACACATAAACATCTTTTATATTCTTTTTTTCTTTTTTTAGATTTTATTTATTCTTAGAGAGGGGGCGAGGAAAGAGAGGCAGAGAAACATCCATGCGTGAGAAAAACATCTATCTGTTGTCTTTTGCATGCAGTCCAACTTTGGACTGAACACACAGCCCAGGCATGTGCCCTGACCAGGAATTGAACCAGCAATGTTTCGCCTCGTGGGACGATGCACAACCAACTGATCCATGCTAGTCAGGGCTATACTCTATTTTTTTTTAAACAAAAATAAGATCATATGATCATACTGTATCTATGTTTTTTTCCTGTAATTTTCTTTCACTCATTAATATATGCAGCCTTCCGTGGTATGGATATGTCATATTTAGTCATTCCCTCCTTGATGGCCATCCAATTTGCTTCTTGTTTTTTGTTACAACAAATAATTAGAATGAACATCCTTGCACACATTGTATTCTCAAGCACTTCAGTAAGCTTTTCTATAGAATAGATACTTAGAAGTTGAAATTGCTGTCAAAAAGTATGCACGTTTAAAATTTGTACAGGTGCTTTCTGATTGCCATCTAAAGTTGTTAACTGTATTTTTAAAAAATATCCACCACGAAGGGAAAAAGCACCTAACTGTGCCTTGCACAGAGTAATTGTTCATCTCTGTTCATTACTATTAATGTGAAGGATAAATTGCCAGTAGAAAGCTATGTTCTGGCAAATACCCCATATACAGTAGGTCCTTGAATAAAGTTTTATTTCAGTGTGCTTCTGTTATAACAATGAGAAAGAAAAAAACCCAAAGATTCCTATCCAGGGCCACTGTCTGGAGTTTGTATGTCCTCCCCATATCTGCGCGGGTTTTCTCCAGATGCTCCAGTTTCCTGCTACATCCCAAAAATGTTCATATTAGGTGAATTTGTGTGTCTCAGTTTTCCCAGTCTGAATGATGATGTGTGTGACTGTGCCCTGGATGGAAGGGTGTCCTGTCCAGGTTTCATTCCTGCCTTGCGCACTGAGCAGCTAGGATAATACTCTAGCACCCCAGAACGTGAACTGGAATAAGCAGGTTGGAAATTAATTATCTTAACTTGTTTTTATTAATCTTTCTTAAAAGGATGTATAGCTCGTATTTATTTCAATGTAAAATATTACAAGTGTTTGGGGGGCTTTATTTAGAAGCCAGGCGATGTTTTTAAGACCAGAAGTATGCCACAGGAACTTAACTCTTGTTTGTATCAGTTAGCCTGTGGTAAAATTGGCTTCATTATACATTGTTTCGCTAGAAGTCACAGTTTCCAAGAAGTATCTATAGTATTTATAGAGTGTTAACTCACCCTGTGCTTGGCACTAGGTATTCAGGCTATATAGAGCTGACTCCGTTCTCACATTCTTGAAGTTTAAAGTCTAAGTGAGTGATGGAGAGGGGAAGGCACCTGGCCTGCATCCTTTCCTTCTTTTCCTAAGCAGAACTTGGTGGGGGGTGGGGCGTTCATCACATTGGGCAGGTACAAAGGTTTGAAGTAGTCAGGTTTTGCCTTTGTTGCAGCCCTTCCTAATACACACAAACTATCTTTTTTTTCCATTAAATTTTTTTTATGACAGGAAATATATTTGTATGATTCAAAAATATAAAGTTTAAAAAGATATTCATTGAAAACCTTCCTGTCTTCCCATTTACCCAGTTTCTACCCCCACTCAGAAACTCATGTGTGTATGTAGATAAGTATGAATTCCTGATAGTTTAGTATCTTCCTTTTAAAAAATTACAAATTAAGTATAAGATTTTCTTTCCTAATTTGGAGGTTGGTTATAGTAGTTTTTGATGATCAGTGAATTTTTATGTATACAGTTAAAATTCTTAGTTGTCCACAGTTACGTTGCTTAAAAGAAGTACCGAAGGCCTCTGCATGTTTTGCACAGAGGCAATGACTATGTTTATGCTGTTTGCCTTGTGTTGTTTTCCTTTGCTGAGCATGAAATCTGGTGTTTATCGTAATTTTATGACTTAAAAGCTTGAAAATGAAAAGTCCGGGAGAACTCCCATATTATTCCTATTCCCTGTGACCTCGTTCTTGACCAGAGCTCTACTGCCCCCTTCCTCCCGCAGCATGGGGATCGTTGTGCTGGAGCTGTACTGGAAGCATGCTCCAAAGACCTGTAAGAACTTCGCTGAGTTGGCTCGTCGAGGTTATTACAATGGCACCAAATTCCACAGAATCATCAAAGACTTCATGATCCAGGGGGGTGACCCAACAGGGACAGGTACAGTAAAGCCAACATTAGTTTCTGAAGTTTGATTCTGTTGTAGCTGATGTAAGGCAGCCTGGGCTGTCTTCCACTTACCAGGGACAGGGTTAGTGATTCTGGGGACTATTCTTGCCTTCCCTCAAATACGCCCCCCACCACCCCCAAACACACACGTATTGCTTACTAAGAGCAAATAACATTTGCCTGAATTATAGCAATATATAGAGTAGTCTGAAAATCAGAAGTAAAGGAAGACATTTACAGTGTTGTGAGAAAAATAGAATACTGGGTTCTTTGATTAATTCATTCGTTTAACAAATAATGAACTTTATGTCAGATACTTTTCTAAGCTCTTGGATACAGCTATGAACAAAGAAAAAAACTTCCTGCTCCCAATAAAACAGAGAAAGGATGTGGGGGTGCAATTTTTAATAGGTCAGGGAAGTTTTCTCTGAGTAGGTGTTATTAATGGAGCAGAGATCTGAATGAAGTGAGGGAATGAACCTTATGAGTGGAGGAAAGAGCAGGCCCAGAGGCTGCGAGGCAGGAGCCCGTGTAGGAGATCATGTAGGATCTTGTAGGGCACAGCAAAGATTGTGGGTTTTATTCTGAATAACGTGGGAGCCAATAGAAAGTTTTGAGCAAAGAAGTGACACAATCTGACGTATGCTTTAAAAAGCTCACTCTGGCTGCTGTTTGGAGAACAGATGTAGGGGCAAGAGAGCTGGGAACCTGTTAGAGGGCTGCTCTAGTCATCCAGGCTAGACCTATGTGGTTGGACAAGGCTAATAGTAGAGAAGGTGGTGAGAAGTCACAGGATTGAGGTTAGGTTTTGATAGAAATAGAGCCAGTGAGTGCCCTGGCTGGTGTGGGTCAGTGGATTGAGCACCAGCCTGCGAACCCGAACATCACTGGTTAAATTCCCGGTCAGGGCACGTGCCTGGGTTATGGGTCAGGTCCCCAGTTGCGGGCGTGCAAGAGGCAACCAATTCATGTTTCTCTGGCATATGGAAATAGAGCCAGTGGGATTTGCTGAGATTGGATTGGGTGGGGGTGAGTAGGTTTGAGAGGGAGAGAGATAATGAAGGAGGACTTCAAAATTTTTGACTTGATTTTAGTGAAGTGGGGAAGGTTAAGAGAGGAGCTTGTTTGGAGGGGGAAGATTAAGAATTTGTTTTTGGTTTTGGACACATTATGTTTGAAATACTTGTCAGATCTTCAGGTACAGATGCTGAATAAGTAACAGGATATGAATGTGGCAGTTCATGGAAGGATCTGGGATGGAGGTATGAATTTGGGAGTTGTCATCATTTAGATGAGATTTAGATTTATTACTGAGATGCTAATAACATTTATTAGTTTTAAGGGCCATTACTTCTCAGTCTGCATTTTCTCTCTGCAAACTCCTGTTCTTCCTTGTCTGCCTTTAAATAGTTTGGCTTTCTCTGTGGCAAAGTCTTTTCTCAGTCTTATTCTTCTTTTTCATTCTCAATTGTCCTTCATTTATCCTTTTACGACCAGAGGCATTCAATTTTTTCAAGATATATGGACACATTTCAAAATGTAGATATATAGGAAAGTAGAAAAAAAAGAAAAAAAGTCACTCATAAGTATACCTCCCAAAGATTCCTAACCACCATTAATGATTCCCCCAATACCCCACCTCTCAGAAATGACCAGTGTTAACTTCTGGTAGCCATTCTTCTAGACCCCTTTCTTTTCAGATACCTAGTTAAATGGATGAATGGATGAACAACTAACTAAATGGAAATAATTTATTAAAAGATAGGGTGTGTCCTGCATGCTAGTGCTTTTTAAACATAAAGTATTGTGTTTCATTTTGTATATGTTTAACAAAAAAAATTGACTTCCTTCTATGAGAGATGAGGCAATTAGTAGTATAACATCTACCCCTCTCTATTGTTTAGGAAAAACTCTGTTTTGCCTACTTCTGGTGTTGGGGAAAACCCAGCTCTTCCCTCCTGTGCTTCTCCTTACTTATACATACTTAGAACAATCACTCTGTTACTTGTAGTCACCAAAAGTAAGGAGGTTTTTTTCCCCACAACAAGCAATTCTCTGTGATACCAGCTGAGTCCTACAATTTAAGTTGGAGATGGTTACGGGCTCAGGCCCACCACACTGCCTCCGTCACTCACTCAGACACATACACACGTACAAGTATTTGTGCTTCTGGCCAACTGGCTATAGATGGAAGGTTCCAATGACCTTCTCCTGGGGTTTGATTACTTTGCCAGAGTGGCTCACAGAACTCAGGGAAACACCCACATTACCATTTGTTGAAGGATAATGATAAAGGATACAGATAAAGAGATGCATAGGGAGAGGTCTGGGAGGGTCCCGAGTGCCAGAGATTCTGTCCCTCTTGAGGTGGAATGTGTCACTTTCCTGGCGTAGAGGTGGTCATCCACCTGGAAGCTCTCTGAACCCTGTTCTATTGGGATTTTATGGAGGTTCCTCCTGGAGGCATGATCTGTTATTAACTCCATTCCCAGCCTTTCTTCCCTCTGAAGAAGTGGCGGTTGTGGTTCCCGGGGTGGGGGGTGCCCGAAATTCCAGGCTTCTAATCATGGGCTGGTCTTTCTGGTGGAACCTACCCAGACACACCTCATTAGAACAAAAGATGTTCCTAGTGCTCTTATCACTAAGGAATTTCCCAAGGTTTTAGGAGCCCTGTGCCAGGAACGGGAACAGAGACCAGTGTGGTTGGACAAGGCTAATAGTAGAGAAGGTGATGAGAATCACGGGCTTGTATATGTATTTATATGTATATAAAAATATATATGTATTTTCAGTGATCTTACACTTATCCTGTCTTCCTCACTGCCAATTTTTGTTGTCAGTTATATTTTTTCTTGTCAGTTTATGGCCTTTTCCCTTCTCCACCCATGACTCCTGCAGCGACAGGATGGGGTCTGCGTTTCAGAGGGCTCAGTGCTCACCACCAGGCTTTTCTCTTCGCAAACACTAGCCAGCAGAATTTCTTTCTGAATGGTTTTTAGTGCAAGGGCTGGAGGCTGTTATATTTTTGAACTCAATCATGTTTGAGAATTTCTGCCTGTTGCCCTTGTACTTGAAAAAGACCCTGATTAGGCATGCTGTTCTCAGGGTGCACTCATTTCCTCAGATCTTTTTAAACATTTCTGTTCCAGCACCTTCTGATTTTGATGGCTTTGGAGAATACTGAGATGAGATTGACTTCTTCCTTTAATTCAGGAAAAATTTTTTGATTTGTATTTATGAATATTTTCTGTTATGCTTATTGGATTTTCTATTTCAGGAAACTAATTCTTTGTTTCATTACCTTTGCCTTCCATATCTATCATATTTCTTTTGAGTGTCTTGAGAGGGTGTTTTCCATTTTTCCCTGCATCCACTGAAGTAATTTCAGACCTTTATTCTGTCCCTTGTTCAATTTTTAGCCATGTCTATTCTGTTCTTCACTGCTCTGATTTATTAGTGCTGTATTGGTGTCATTTGGCTCTAAATCTGTTTCCTTAGCTCTGTAATCTTTTTCCTTTACTCTGTTGATTTATTATCTTGTCTTTGAACTTGTTTTACTGGATTCTTATTTTTATTAAAGTATCAGTAGCTTGAGACAGCTACAGAGTCCTTTTTGGATTGCGTTTTCTCCCCGACATAGTTCCTGAGGCGGCCCGGGAACGAACCCCGTGCTCCCCCCGCCCGCCAAGGCGGCCAGTGCTGGGAGCGCACCCTGCCACTCCTGAGCACCTGTGGTATAGGAGGACCTCTCCTTCACTTTTTCAGGACTACTCACTCACTTCCTCTGTTGGCTTCTCAAAATTGGAGGGTATTTGTGAGGGTTCTCTGGGTGACTCATCCTTTCCTGGTTACAACTTTCAGGGAGTACAAGAGGATGAATCTTCTGTTTCTTTCCTGGTTGACTCTTCAGAATTTTTGAAGTAAAGTTTGATTCCTTTTTCTTATTTGGTTGATGCTGGTGAAGTTTTTGTTTTCTAAATTTGAATTTCTTCTGTTTGCTTCATCAGGTATTAGGGGAGGAAGAGTCCACTTTCTTTATCTGAAAGTGTCCCACCAGCACTTTCATGTACTTTTTTCTTGTTGTCTTCCTCTCTCTCATTGTTTCTGTGAGGTAAAATTTTAATTCGTAACTCCAGTTATGAATTAAGTGAGCTGAGAGAGTCCATGATTAGTATAAAAGAATTGGAAGCGACTCACATGTGAGTTGCTCATGCCAGAGCTTCCCTGTATTTCTGTAATTGTTCTGAGTCCTTCATAGTGTTACATTTTCATGTTTAATTTTAGTGAAATTGAATCCCTCAAAAGATTTTAAAATAATTGCATCCAACCTCAAGTATAAGGAATGATTGAGCTCATCCTGCTGACAGGTCTGTGGCTGAAGGCAAACAAAAGTTAGGTCCTTCCATGTCACTAGTATGAACTGCTAGCTGATTAGGTGATACAGTACATTTTTTGCTAAACATCTCAGATGTGCAGCATTTGGCGTGCCGGGCTCTTCAGCAAGTCAGTGTACTACTTCCATCCCCAACTATCCCTCAGGCTGATGCACCTATTCTTTCCAGCATCTTTCTGATACATTTTTTTTCAGATGTTTTCTCAATTCAAATACCCTTTGACGTCCTGCTTTATTTTAAATCATTTTTTTCTTTTAAATTTTTACTTTATGTTGACTCTTTACTTAGGCCTCTGAATGTCTTTATCTGCTTTTACAAACTTGTATTCCTCTGCTCCCCGTAAAACCAGACATACTGTGCAGCGCTTCCCTTCGCTCCTCCTGCCCTGCCCTTTGCCTCGCAGTGCTTGCTGGCCGCCGTGATTGCAGTGACTGATGACATGCTGATTAGGCTGTGTGTCACCCTCACCTGCTTTCATCCCTCCTCTTTCCCTAGGAACACCTGAAATGTAACATGTTGAAGAGCAAGCTCATTGTTAATTTTATTCATTTGATGAATATTTGCTAAGAGTCAGCTTGGTACCTTGTGCTCTCCAAA